TAAAGATGTTCAAAGTTGAAAGCGCCAGAAAATACTCTTTATGACCACCTGTGCCTCTACAGAGTAGGTCCAAAGACTGGCACAATCAGGAGGTCTAAAAGCACGAGGGGGAAGGTTGTGGGGTTCAGGGGTGCCCGCACGGTTACCTTTCTGGGGCTGAAGATGGCGGCAGCGGCGCCAGCAGGGAAGGGCGTGGCTGAGAAGACCCTCTGGCGCTGAAGATCGGAGCATTTTTAGTTTTTGAGAAAACTTTCCTATTTTCTGTAGGGGCTGCTCTGATTTATATCCCTACAAAGCGCACACAAGACTTGTCTCTTCTGTGTCCTCACCAACACTGGTTGCCCTTTATTTTGGTCGTGGCAGTCCCAACAGGAGGCAGGTGATAGCTTTTTGTAGCTTTGACCTGTGATTTTACTTACCTGGATATTTGCCATGTTCTCCTTTTCATATACCTGTAGACTACTGGTATGGTATCTTCAGGGAAAGCCTGCTCAGGCCCACCACTCATGTGCTAATTTGGTTATTAGAGTTCATTTATATTTTGCTATTATGTTTTTGGACTTCCCTGTATATATATTTCGGATGTTAACATCTAAGGAAATGTAAGCCCTGAAAAATCTTCTTTCTGCAGGTTCCTTTTTTTTTTTTTTTTTTTTTTTTTTTGGTACTGGTGATTGAACTTGGGTCCTTGTACTTGTGAGGCAGGTGGCAGAACCACTGAGCTAATTCCCCAGCCCTCCTGTAGGTTCCTTTTTAATTCTTTTGTTTCTTTTCCTGTACAGAAAATGACAGTCTGATGTAATTCTACTTATCTATTTTTGTTTTTGTGACCTGTGGATTTGAAGGCCTATGTACAAGATATTAATTATACTAATGAGACATTCATTATAGAGACAGTAGTGAGTAAATGATAAGTTTATCATTTACTCTAAAATAATACAGAGATAGAATGTGTAATTTTAAACTGGAGATATTTTGGGCCAGAGATTTAGCTCAGTGGGTCCAGCACCTGCTTTACAAGCACAAGGACCTGAGTTCGATCCCTGGCACCAAAAAAAAAAAAAATCAATAAACTGGAGATATTTATTTTCCCATGACTGCACTGTATGCGAAATTTCAAGAACGGTACCATTAATGTGCAGCTCACTGTTCTGGGTGTGGGGATGTGGAGAAAGTGTGGGACTGAAATGCCAGCGTCCTGGAATGACATGGACCTGGTAGACCAGTTGACCAGGCAGAAGCAATGGACGCATCAGCCTCAAATGCCTCCTCCAGATGCAGGTTTGAAGCCCACAAATTCTTTCACAGATAAGCTGCCTTTTAATCCAGTCTGTCTGCTTCACTCTGTTTTTATTGCTGATTTCATTTCTATTAACGGTGATACAGTTATTGCTTTTAGTGGATCTTTAATATATGTCAAAATTTGGCTTGTCTTTGATTTCTGTTGATATGTATTTTGAATGGTGACACAGTTGGTGCTTTTAATTGATTTTTATTGTACGTCAATATCTGGTTTGTCCTTGTGTCTTCATCATTACTGTGGTTTATTTTCTCCTTTCTGTCGCTGGGGATCAGTCCCTCCAAAACCCTCTCAAATAAAACTGGAGACATGTCCATCTCAATAGACAAACCTCAAAAGAGACACGTAAGAAGTTTGAAATAAACAAAGCAACATGACTTTTACAAATTCTATATTTGTCAGGAACTGACATCAAATTTCATCCATTCCTATGGCAGAGAGATGGAGACAGAGCCTGCAAATGATTGCGGAATTTCTGACAAAATATCAGCAGGCACATTCGAATCTGAAACTACCAGAACCCCTCAATTTTTCTGGTATATTTTTCTCCCACATTTCCGGGAAGTCTCCTATCCTTCCTGAGTGGATATTTCTCATAGAGAACAATCAAACAGTCAACCGGTATATCCAAAAATGTTCAACAATCGGTAATCAGCAGGAAAATACAAATTACAACCACTATGGGTTATGGCCTTATTTTGATTAGAATGGCTTTTCAGATAAAGGAAACCAGGTGTGTAGAGGATGTGGCAAAAGGGAATCTTACACAGTATTGGTAGGAATGCGAATTGAGACTACTACATTCATTGTGGTAAACAATATGGAGATTAAATATAAACCTATTGCATACTCCCTCAATCTGTCTCTCTGTTTTTTTTGTTTTGTTTTGTTTTTGTTTTTTTTTTGGTGCTGAGGATCAAACTCGGGACCTTGTGCTTACAAGGCGGGCAGCAGAACCACTGAGCTAAATCCCTGGCTCTTTGAGTGTCTAAAGGAAATTAAATAAGAGTGTTGATGTGATAGCAGAATTACCATGATCCCTGCCGTGTTTTTCACACTATGAGCCACGGGTAGATGAACCGACACAGGAAACATGGCTTATAGTCACATTAGAGTGCTCACCAGCTGTAACAAATGAAAACTTGTCATCTGCACAACGGAGATAAACCTGGAAGGCATTAGGCTAAGCAAAATAGGAGAGACCCAAAAGAGTAAAAAGGTCCTGAAAATGTGGAGTGTAAAAGTTTAACTCATGGATGTAAAAAAGTAGAATGTTTATCACTGGCTAAGGCATGGAGTGATTTGGGGAAATGTCAAACGACACAAAATTTCAGTTAGGAGGAGTAAGTCCAAGAGACCAGTTGTACTACTCAGTGACAATGTGTCAGGTTCTTGAAGACCATTGAGAGTTCTTTAAGTGCTTTATCACAAAACTGGGGGAATGTATATATTAATTGGCCCTCTCTCTATATACCCACTCACATTATATACATGTTTGAAACCGTATAAAATAAATATAGTCTGGTCAGGGATTTAGCTCAGTGGTGCCATGCCTGCCTCTCAAGTGCAAGGTCCTGAGTTCCAGTCCCAGTACCCCTCACATAGACGTATCAAATAAATACATATGATTTTAGTGACAATTAGAATTGCAAAAATTACGTGTACACACTTCGCTGAGATGCTCTCACCTTCCCACACCACGAGACTCTGCCTCCAGTCATTTCAGCAAAACAAGAGCTTCTCCCAAACACTCAAATTGCGTGTGTCTAGAGATGCTCACAGAATCTTCTAATTGTCCCTGGGAATTGAGAAGTGGAGAGAAAGTTTATTTCTTTTAGTCACAGTGACCCAGTGATTCACTGCCATTTGAACACGGTTCATAATCACTCTTTGGAAGGATGATGCAGTGGGCTGACTGCACCTCCAGGGGGCGGAGGTGATGTGATAATTGCGTTTCTGTGGGGAGCTGAGGTCACCACCGCGGCCCATATCTCAAGGTCTGGCCACCTCTCTCCCACCTGAGCAGGGGATGTCACGACCGTCACCTGGGCTTGTTGTTCTTGAAGCCGGAAGGAGCTGGTGAGCCCTTTCTATTTCAATTTGTGAGGCCAAGTGTGGAAGGGAAAGCGCTGTGCCTGTGTCTGTGTCTGGAAAGCCATCGTGTCCGGGAACATAGTATATCTGGGGGCACTGGTGCCACACAGGAAGGAACAGAAATTCCTGAGGCAGAGGCTGAGCTTGTGGACCAGGGCCTGGAGGTCTGAGGTTCCCAAACTAGCCTCTGATTTCTCTTCAAATGTTTTCGTGTAATCAGCATTGATTACGTTTCTGGGAAACCGCTTCGAGTCGGCTTGACACCTGATTTGCAAGATACTTAAGGGCGTGACTCAGAAATCAGTCTGCTATCCAGCCTGCTTCACAGGGAGAGTTAAATAATCAGTATTGTTTCTTCAGTAAAATGTGTTTGTCATAATGACTGTGATTGCATAAATCGAATCAGATATTTTCTGTGTAAACAACAGTGTGATCAGTTGGTAACTGGTGTAGCATGCAGATTTTTCTCTCCCTGAGTTTGACATGATTAGCGGAGCTGATGATTAGGCCTTTCTGAAAATACCCATACTTTGTGGGTGGTGGGACGCTCTTCCTTCCTGAAGGGAGGACAGGAGACATGTGAGATTCATATACCACAAAAATTAAGGGGTTCTGGTTGTTCCAGATTCAAATATGCCTGATGATATTTTGTCAGCTTGCAAAAATTCCCCAGGCATTTCCAGACTCTGTCTCCATCTCTCTGCCACAAAAATGTAAGAGATTTGATACTTGGAAGTTTCCTTTTGCCGGCTTGCCTTGAATTTTAGCATCATTCCCAAAGTGCTTATTTCATTTTCTTTGTTTTTCTAAAATAAACGCACATAACTGTAGGCTATCTATTGAGTTAGTTTCTAATGCGAAATATTTCATCATATATTTAAACTTTGTGTCCTTTAGCTTAGATGAAAACCAAATATTACCCTTCATTTCTGTGGCAGATGTCATTGGAAAAATATCACAGGGCCCTTTCTGTTGCTATTTTAGTATGGATCTGTAGTCCCTAAAATTTTTTTGTGATAGGAAATCGGTTAGGGTGCGAACTTTTTTGTTTTTGAATCTGCATTCACGACTCGTGCAAGTATATAGAACCATTCATAGAAGACTGGGGAATGATCACAGTCAGATTTATTCAATAGCAGATTTCGAATATGACAAGGTACACGTATGTTTGGGTTATTGAATGACCTCCTTGCCTATCTGGTAATACAGCATGCAGAGAATCACAGTGCCTTGCAGCCTGGCTGTCACGAGAAAACCTGTTCTTCATGGATATTGAGCTGCATCACATCACCTCCTTTTCTGTTCAGTCATGTTTATGAATAAAAAGAAAAAGATTTAGGTCACAACTCATCATATTGTGTGCATTAAATAAGTTAGAAGAAGTAGGTCACTGTGGTCCATATCTTGTCAGTGCCCTGTAAAGAAACGTGAGAGACTTTGGAAAAGTCTTATGGGAAATCATATGTTAGAAGTAAATTTCTGAGGAGATTTGATGGTAAGCGAATGGTTTCGAATTTAATGTGTTATGAAACACCCTACAACTTATCTTTTCACACAGAATCATGTTATGTTGGGATGTTTACATTAAATCCTGGACCGTCATAAAATGGCCTCTGCGGACTGGCGATTTGGAGTGATCTTCCTTTTTGAGATCGGCATCGGAGCCTCGGGGAATTTAGCACTCTTGTGTCACTATTGTATCCTGTGCTGCAGGGGCTGCAGGCCCAGGTCCACCGATGTGATCCTCAGGCACCTGACTGTGGCCAACACCCTGGCCATTCTCTCCAGGGGAATCCCAGAGACCATGGCAGCGTTCGGGATGGAAGGCTTCCTCAGCGATGCCGGATGCAAGCCGGTGTTCTACGCTCACAGGGTGGGCAGGGGTGCGTCCATGGGCAGCACCTGCCTCCTGAGTGTCTTCCAGGCCGTCGGCATCGGCCCCAGGCGCTCCAGGGGGGCAGAGCTGAAAGCGAAGGCCCTAAACCACATTGGCTCGTCTAGCGCCCTCTGCTGGGGCCTGCACATGCCGCTCAGCGTCAGAGTTCCTGTGCTGGGGAGCGACACAGGGGTCAATGGAAACATCACCGAAACTGTTGATTTCCAGTGCTGTTCAGCTACGCTTCCTGACAAAGATAAAGCTTCTCTGTTTGGGGTGTTGACACTCTCCCACGACATTCTGTGTTTGGAGCTCATGGTCTGGGCCAGTGGCTCCACGGTTTTCATCCTGTTCAGGCACAAGCAGCGGGTCCACCATCTCCACAGCCACAAAATCTCATCACGACCTTCCCCTGAGACGAGAGCCACCCAAAGCATTGTCATCCTGGTCTGTGCCTTCGTGTCCTTCCATGCCCTGTCTTCCATCATTTACTTTTTGTTCCCCCTTCATTACGAAACTGCCTGGTGGCTGGTCAAGACCTCTGCTGTCAGCAATGCCTGTTTCCCCACTGCCGGCCCCCTGATTCTCCTGAGTCGCGAGCAGTGTGTTTCCAGGGTCATTTGGAAGAAGTAAGCCGAGATCTCATCTCGTCACACATGTGAATTTATCTGCTTTTCAAGTGCTCCATCCTGAACGCACCCCTATTTGACTGAAACTTAATAAGTCTTATTGCAGCGAGAGGTGTTGCTATGATAGAGCTTCTATTTTCATAACGAGTAGTGATTAGTAACAATATGAAATAAAATCTTTTCACTGTATATTTTTAAAAATTTCTGTATTTTTTTTGTGTGTGGGTGTGTGTGGTACCAGGGATCGAACTCAGCACCTTGCACTTGCGAGGCAGGTGGCAGCACCATTGAGCTAAATCCCCGGCCCTTTGCTATGTATTTTGATACAGTTTTATCTTAAATTTGAAATATTTGTGCTTCCTTAATTTTTTGCTTGTGTAAAAGTCTTTATTTTTATTCAGTGTAGTTAATATGTATGTCGTGAAGTATAGTATGTTTAAATCTGTGTTCTCTCATTTAAAATTTTTTATTTCTCTCTTCTCTCCAGTCTTGTAGGTTCTTTGGTATAACGGGTTATGTCAGATCCAGATCCCTATTTTTTTTCATTGTTTATTGGTACATTTTAGGTATTCAACATGATGCCATTCATCATTGGGAATTTGTCCCTGTACATGCTATATTTTGGTTCTTCTTCTTCGTATTATTTTTGGTATCGGGGATCAAACGTGGGTGCTTGTGCTTGTGAGGCAGGCGGAGGCACCACTGAGCTAAATTCCTGGCCCGCTGATCTATAGCTTAAAAAAATATTTACAGAAAGAATATAAGTGTATTTGTAAATTTAATGCAAGTTTGCTTCCGGTCTTCGCTTTCCAAATGCTTGATTTACACTTTTGGTTCCTTCTTACATTGCCTTTCTATTGGAAAGATTTACCACTTTCCCTTTAAAATGTCTGCATGTTTTACCGCGAGAAGTAGCTCACCTACGCAGACGCGGGAAGAAGCGTTCTGAAGTTAGCCGAGTTGAGGCATTTCTCCAGACCGGAGTCGGTTCAGTTAAATGAACCCAGGGCTGCAGGAGAGAAAGTGGTGAGAACTGAGGACCACCAGGCTTTGTGAGGAGGAGCAAAGCTTCCTCATGCTGCCTGGACCTGGGGGTGAGTTCACGTCCGCGATTGCCTTGGCACACATCAGTTGCCATTTGAAAGGTCCAATGCGACGTCAAACCCGAAATCACGGAGGTTTCCAAGAGAGTGGTGATAGCCCAGCGATGGGAGATGTTGTCCTGTGCTTACCAGGAGATTAGTACGGCCGAAGAACACCTCTGATCTGCAGGAGCCTTTGGTCATTTCCTCTAATGTACATGTACACGAGCCTCGGAAGCTTTTTATATCCCCTGTGCATTAGCCTTCCTGATTTAAACAGACCAAATGCAAACTCAGTCTCCAGAAAGGGCCCATCATGGCCAGGTGGATGCAGAGCTGTGCCTGGGAAATGCAGGGAAATTAGCTGGAAAATTTAGGTGCTGAGAGGTGGGGGAGGCAAACATAACCAAACATGGAAACTCAGCCCAGAGGAGAAATCCACTCCATCAAATACATCTTCTGGGCAGTTAGAAAGGTGAGCGGGATGCCGCTGGTTCACAGCACCCGTTAACTCCAGGTCTGCTGATGATTCTGCCTTGTGAGTGGTTCCATCACCGGAGCGAAGGGTTCAAAGCAGCAGAGGCCACTCCCCTGGGCTGGGCTCCTGCCCTACTGTCCCAAACCCGGGGAGTGCGAGCCCTGACAGCGAGAGGGTCACAGAGTAAGGCGCCCGAGGAACTGAATGCAAGAAAACCACTCAGAGGATAGAGACCTGGGCCTCTGGGGAAGCGCAGAAGAGAACAGCATTTCTTGGGGACTCAGAGCTGGGGAGAACTGGGCTCCCGGGAGCCCCAGGCTGTAAGGGAAACATGGGTGAGAATGACATTTCCAGAGCTGCCAGAGCAGAAGTGCCCAGCACCCTCCAGACACCGGGAGCTCCGCGTCCCTGCAGTGTCCCACCCACTGCCCACCCTGAACAAATGCTGCCCCGTGGGCCCTTCGTACCGCAGGGGTCACGGGTGGGGGCTGCAGCCTGCGGCTGTGAAACATAAGAGAGGAGATCAGCAGAGCAACCCCTCCCCTGCTGTTCCCCCAAAGCCCAGGGAACTCGGCGTCCGAGCATACCCTGCGCGGTGTCCAGCAAAACTCCCCAGAAACAGAAACAACAACAACAAAAGAAGCCGCCTCAGCAACAGATCGTAGAAACTGATCCAACAGCTGCTCCGTGACACAAACAGAAGTAAGCAAAGAATAACAGACATCAGAGAAAAGATAGCACAAAAACTATTTACAAAGACCGTAACTGAAAGATCCCAGATATAGGGAAAAATTCAACATACAGCTGAGGAGGTGACAGAACTTTCCAGTTACCACGTAAGATAAAAGGTACTCTCCTTCCACGGAACCGCACTGTTAAAACCCCAGAAGTCCAACAAAAGGACAGATTTTAAAAGCTGCTGGAGAAAATCAACAAATAACTATCAATGTAGACTACTGCAATTTATGCAGATTTCTCATCCCAGACTTTAAAAGTCAGGAGAGTGTAAAGTTTCTCTCAAGTCCCAAAGGAAAACGATTGCTATATTAGATTAATATATCTTGCAAAAATTTCTTGAAAATTTGATGGAAAATAAGGACCTTCCATGATAAAGAGCATCTTGAGAAATTTATGGCCATAAGCCAGATCTACAAACTGTACTTACGAACAAAATGAGGGCAGTGATAGTAAAGAATATAATGGAGTCAGTATGGCCAACAGTGAGAGCAGTTACGTCAAAGGGGAAATTACAGGACACAGCAAGAGAAAAAGGGTGCAATGACAAGAATCAGTGCATAGCTCTTGAGAATAACTCTCAGTGTAAATGGTCTCAACTCCCCTGCCAAGACACGTAGATTGGCAGTTTGGATAAAAACAGAACAAAATGGAATGAACCCTTGTGATGCATATAAGAGACATATCTAGTCCATAAAGAAGCACGGAGACCACAATCAAAGAATACATAACGATACACCACGCAGCAGGAGCCAGAAAGCAAGCGGGAGCCTTATTTTCAGACAAAGTAGACTTCAAGCCAAACTGGTGAGAAATGATGAAGAAAGATCGCTCTCTACAGGTAAAGGGAACAATTTGACAGGAAGAGAAGGCAATTAAATTATATATGCAGTGGTGCACCCAACTTCATAAAATAAATACTTCTGGACATAAAAGATCAGGTAAACATCCAACACAATCATAGCTGGGGGTTTAATACCCCACTGCCACAAATGGATAAACCAATTAGACAAAAGATCAACAAAAAAATTTCAGATTTATACCACAACTTCAAAGAACTGGATTTAAGAGATATCTGCATTACTCTCTCCCCCCAGTGGTGGATATGTGCAACTACACACTCGTCAAAATTCATAGAATGGCCGGGATTTAGCTCAGCGGTGCTTGCCTCACAGGCGTCAGGTCCTGAGTTCAATCTCTGCTATCATGCAGAATGTAGGAGCTGCGGGGTCAGGAAGGCTTGCACCCAGATTTCAGCAGAAGGCCTGGAATGCCAGGCAGTTTGCTCCCGAGAGGGCTGTGTGTGAGGCTGTGAGTGCAAAGCCAGAGGAGCAGTGCGGACCCCCGAAGTTGGAGAAGCCAGGACTGTGGATGTGGATTGCCTGAGAAAAACTGCAAGGAGAGAGCAGAGTCAGCCCCCGAGAGAGGCCATGGGAACTTCAACCACCGGAAGTGCCGTGGGGCATGGAGACACCCAGGCCCTTTGGAGTTTACAACTTGCCATGGGGTGCTGGAGATGCTGGAAGTGGGACTGCGGGATGCAATGTCTGCCCTGCTGGATTTTGGACTTGCTTTGGTCCCATTCCTTTGTATCCCCTGTTTGTAATTTTTGGAATGGAAATGTCTTGTACCATTGAATGTTGGAAAGGTTTAACTTGCTTTTCATTTGACAGGGGCTTGCAGCTAAGAGGTTGCCTTAAATCTCAGAGGAGACTTTGGACTTAGACTTTTCTGTGTTGCTGAAACTCTTAGGACTTTGGCAGCTCTTGGGGATGGATTAAGTGCCCTTTGTATAAAGGGACATGCCTGAGTCTTGGCGGGGTGGCAGGGGAGGAATGTTATGCCTTGTGTTTAGACGTCCCCCTAAAGCCTCCTGTAGTCATAGGTGGGGTTTTTACAGAGCTAGCTGGATCCAGAGTGTGTGATGCTGGGATTGATTCCTGATGCAGTGCTAGGTTCGAGAACACTAGGATTAAGGCTATGAGTGCTATCTGCCCTAAGTAGTCTAGATAAGATAAAAGGGGCAGAAAGATGCTGTTAAGGTTCCCTGTTGCTTTGCTCCTTTGTGTGTGCCAGCCAGTTATGGACTGTGATCTCTACAAACTGGGAGCCCGAATAAACCTTTTCTCCCTTAACTTTGGGTGTCAGTTATTTTTTTCTCAGCAATGAGAACAGTAACCAGGACAAAACAGCCCAATTACAGCAATTGAGTTGTGAGAAATATCTGAGTATGGGTTTTCCAGTTACCACTCGAAAACAGTCATACTGACAGAGGAGGGCAGGCCAGGGCTGGACAGGAGAACAGAAATAGCAGCTCCCAGGTCTAGGAGGAGATTGATTCTCCCCTCTGTAGTTAGTGGTTTGGGGCTCCTGAACAGTGATGACTGTCTAATTCATGGGAGCTGCTAACGGGTTCCTGGGTCCCCCCCAGTGTTCTTGTTAGCCCACCTGGAAGGCTGGGTTGTTCCCAGAGCCCTTCACCTCTGGGGCACCCCCTTCAGTGGTTCTCTTCACCCTTTGGTGACAGTGACCCCATCACAGTGCCTGTGGCTTTCTGCAGTAATAGCAAGCAGACGATTCACCTTTAGATCCCTGGGAGTTTGATTTCCCCTACGGGTGCTCAGTAGCACAGCTGCCTTTCTCTGACCTCAGTTTTCCTTCTCCTTGGCCTCCTCTTGGTCTTGGTTATAAAATACCTGTGACTAATTTAGCTACAGAGCCCAAAGACCTATCAGGGCCAAATGCCCTTTTCTGTAAATTTCTCCTTCTTTTGGGGGCAGATTGGGTTAGAAATTTACCCTAAAGTTTTACCTACTCCTCCATGGAGTGACTCTGGGGATAAAAAGGTAAATTTAGCTAAAGGCTCCTGGAGACTTTGTACAAAGGTGGAGGACTTTTCTTCACTGCCCTGATCAGTGGGTGATAACTTGAATGAGTCCTTCACAACCGTTCCAGGACACAGGGCTGGAAATGTTTCCGTGCCTTCCTGTCCTCATAATCCTCAGGGTCACGGATGGGGCCCTGTCTTGGGATGGCCTGACCTCCTGTGGGAAGTGGTCTTTCTCCTGGCTATAGTTCCTCGGGTCTCTTATCATGAATCATAAGGAATTCATTTCCAAAGACCTCTGCTGCACATAAGACTTCTTTCTTTTCACTAGGGGCTAGTGTTTGATTTAAAGGAGCAGGGGTGGGGATTTAGCTCAGTGGTTCCTCCGCCTGCCTTGCAAGTGCGAGGTCCTGAGTGTGATCCCCGGTACCAAAAACAAAACCAAACCAACAAATAAAGGAGCATAATATCTTTCCACGGCAGATTGCAAGATCGCACTATACTCTGAAGTGTCTCCATGTGCTTCTAAGGATTGTCAGAAAAATTCCTAAATCCTGCTTGGCCTGCCCTAAGTCTGTCAAAGAAAAGGGCACATAGACTTGGACAGCACGCTATTCTCATCAGCTCGTCGCCCGAAGAGTGTATCATCCCCTAGTGGGACCATCTTTTGGCCTGGGTGGTGGCTTTGGTTTTGGAGGTGAAGCACAAGGCTGAGGCAGAACTCTCTGGGTCTCAGCAGGGCCCTGTGTGCCCACAGGTGACCCGGGCTCTGGCCTGCTTTGGTGGCACAGTTTGCAGCTTCTTCTTAAAGCAAAAAATGTCCGGACATAGGGAATTTCTGGCCATTTTCCCTCTCTCTCACAGAGCAGATCGCACGAGTTCTAGCGAGTGATGATGCAATCCAGAGGTGTTTGAGAAACCACTGAGTTCGTGTTTCCCACTTTGAAGAGCAAGCAGAGAGAGGCATCGCCTTCATGTGCCTGTTTCGGGCAGTAGCTTGGGGCACCCCCAGTGCTGAGCCTACTGGGGCTAGCGGCAGCCACTGAGTTTGTCTGAAGACGTTGGTGGGGCCAGAATGCAGCTCTTACTGGTGCCTACCTGCCCCTCCCTTGCAGTCCTTTGGCACATGGCTGTGGTGGACCTTCCAGCCCTCACTCAGCATTTGTTGGGGTGTTGACGTGCTCCAGAGAAGAACCATGCTGCAGAGGCCCTAACTTAAAAAGAAAATCAAAACAAAAACCCAGGGGCCAGGGATTTAGCTCAGTGGCACCACACCTGCCTGGAAAATGGAAGGTCTTAAGAGTTTGAACCCCAGCACCGAAAAAAGAAAGACAAAACCTACCAGCCAGAGCAGTACTCTTGAACAAGAGGGGAGAAGGACAGGGTAGAGATATTCCCTAGTTCCCAGCCCTCCTCTGAGGCCAGGAAGACAGACTGGAATAACGTTTTCAGGACGAGTCTCTCTGATCTTGAGTAAAGTCAGCCTCCAAAAGAAAGAAAAGCAAACAGCAGGCAAAAGCTGGAGTTGAGTCTAACAGTAAAACAGCACTTTCTCCTCATTGTGATTGTGGTGAATTAACAGTGTTACGGAAAGAATCAGTAAGTGACACACAGAGAGGCAGCAGAATGGAAGGAAAATGACAAATTTACTCATCTATAAGGGTCCCTCGCCCATAAGCCGTGCCTGGATCGACGACTCCTTTTAGAGGGTTTCACAGCCTTGACTTCATTTGGGTGGTTACATTTCATTCTCACAGTTCAAATCACCATCACAGAATAGCTCATCTTTTAACCCAGACGTAACAGTTCTTTGCAGTTGGGGAGTTTACCTTTAAGATTCGCCTAGTTATCTGTCCTAGTCCGTAGGAAGGGGGTGCTCAGGGTCAGGGGAGCAAATGTTAGCAATGGGTTCTTTCATCCAGACACTTACGATCAGGTGGCTCCAATCTCTTCGGAGCTTGAGGTCTTGCTGTGCCGTTATCTCAGGGTCAGACCAATGCCTCATTCAGCAGTTAGTGCGTTCGGCGCCTATTAGTTTTGAGCTAAACAAAACAAACCGCTGTTAGAGACAGCAGAAGCCACTTTACACTGTAACACTTTATGCTATTTATAAAAGCTTTCCCTATCAACAGGACAATGCACCCAAGACTCATCATTCTCTTTGGGCTCAAAAGACTGAGCGCAAGAGTGTCATGAGCTAAAAATCACTGCCTCTGTAGCGCATGATTAAACCAGAAGGGACATCAAGGCAGGGCACACTCGACATTTCCTTTCACTAGTGTGGCCCGGTCCTTTCAGATTTTAGAACAGTGTCCAGGCTGGCCGCCTTCACATGGCCCAGGAAGATCTGTGTGCTTATGTGAGGCATCTTGATCCCCAAATCAGCTCCACTACGAGGAAAATGACAGGAGAAAACTAAATAAACTATTTTCTACAGTATTTAACTCTCAAAAATTCAAAGTTCATGTTCAACATTTTTGTTTGGTTGGCTACTGTTTTAAAGGTTCCTTTTAGATGTAGTAACTAAAGTTTGCTCTCATTATTCATCCAATTAGAATCTGTAGCACATCTGAACATTATTGAGAAATGTAACTACAGTTTTGAAGCTATCCATATTATAGACAAAGAAACAGCACACTCAAATACTAGAGTATGAAAACGTCCTAACCCCCTGGTAAAAAGCAGAGCAGAGTTTAGAAATCAAGCTGTTTCCTGATGTGCTTGGGAAGCAGATATGCTGAATGAAGACTTCGCTTAGTCAAACTGGAAAGAAAAGCTGGGTTAGTGTGGAAAAAATGGAGTCCTTGGAATTTGGGAGGAATTGTGGTGGGTACTGAACAAAGCGGTCACTCAGAAGACCGGTACAAAAGACAGTGTGTGTTTTTTTTTCCGATGAGCTCAGGTCACTGGGTGTTCCTTCCGTGGTGGACACCACAGACTCTGGATATGGTCTGGTCACGGCTCATGAGCACGAAGGGACAGACTGTGGGGAAACAGGCGTTCATCAAGGCAGCAACGGTGAGCAATAAGGAGCTGGGATTGTAAAACACAGTGAGAGACACTTGCATGGTGCAGGTGATGGTGTAAAGAGTTACGTACATGCACACCAGGACGAGGATGCTGTGGATGGCCCTCGTCTCAGGTGAGGATTTGGAAGAGATATGTGTCCCGTGGAGGTAGTGAACTCGCTGCTTATGTGTATACAGAATGAAGACCATGGAGCCACTGGCCCATACACAATGCATCAGAGATGGCTAACACCGCTGCAGTGACTGAGTTGGAAACCTTCTCGTGTTCTCTAGAAAAGCAGTACCCAAGGTCTCTTTTGTGTGTTACGGTTTTGTTTTTCTGATTAGCTGTCACATTCACAGGAATGATGATATTCAGCATCAAAGGCGGGACCCAGCAGAGGACAGCGGCGGGGCTCATGTGCTTGAGAGCTTTTACTTTCAGCTCTTTCCACTTCCAGTCCTCGGGGCTGATGCTGATGGCCTGGAAGACACTCAGGAGGCAGGTGCTGCCCATGGACGCACCCCTGCCCACCCTGTGAGCGTAGAACACCGGCTTGCATCCGGCATCGCTGAGGAAGACTTCCATCCCGAACGCTGCCATGGTCTCTGGGATTCCCCTGGAGAGCATGGCCAGGGTGTTGGCCACAGTCAGGTGCCTGAGGATCACATTGGTGGACCTTGATTTGCCACTATTGAAATAAAAGCATAAATACTGGCTTAAGAGGAAAATGTTCCCCATGGCTCCAATGACCATCTGGATGAGGAAAACGATGCCAGTTTTAACGTTCATGGAGGCCATTCTGCTATTTCTGTGCCCAGTATTTGCTTCATTAAATAGTGGATTCATAGGACACCCTGCACTCTACATTTTTGTTGTTTCTAGAACAGGTAGAGTGCCCACACGTTTCCTAATTTCTCACACTAATTCATAACAAATCGAACACATATTGCACCACAGTGCAGTCACTACGACAGTCCTGTCTTTCTCTTCCCTTAGAATTTAGCTATGTAGTTTAGACATTCTCTTACATCTTAGTAGAAAACATTTTTGGTACCAGGGATTGAACTTGGGCCCTTGGGCTTTCGAGGCAGGTGGCAGAACCACTGAGCCAAACCCCCAGCCCACCTCAGTAGAATTTGAGCTTGAACCAGAATGGCCTGCTTGTTACCATAGCGATGTTACACACGTTATGTCATTACATAACTATATTACCCTCATTAGCTGTTGATGTTTTTGCAAGAATAAATATATATGCATGTCTTATAGACCACTGTAATGCCTAACTTTAAGTTTACTTAGGTATACTCACCGTGAATGAAGCCGTCTGACTGACCACTGTATGTGAAACATGAAGGACGCTTGAGAAGTAATAAAATGCATGCACATCAAGCAATTTACTGAATCTGTTAGGTTTTTTCAATGTGAAACATTACAAAATCATTATTACAGAAAAAGTATAATCATTACAGAAAAAGTGCTACTGTTTATCCTGTTTCTCAGAGATTATACATACACAGTGGTGATTTACTCAGGGAACAAATTAATCTTCAAACACACACACACATACCCATATATATCCATTATTTTATAAAAATATCAAAATTGTACTTTTTACATTACTTATTTCTAATGGAATGAAAATAACCCTTGTAAAATGGACCCAGGCACCACAGGATCATATTTAGGGAAAATTTGAGATGAAAGACAGAAACAAAGGATGTTAGTTAGTAGAAGTTTAAGAAAAAAATGAAAATCCAACTTTTTGCAAATGGGAAGAGGGCCAGGAGCTGGGAGGAGCAGGAAGGGAGGGTTGGAGTAGGAAACAATAATAATAATAATAAAAAGAATTGAGGTGTGTTATGTACATATGCCAAGTCCCCGCTGATAAGTCATCCTTATGTACGGCAAACATGTGGTAACAAAAAGTAAATAAAAAAGAGCACATAACAAAAAGAAAACTGTGCATCATGTTTTCCTGTGACAAATGCTAAAGCCCTTGGTTTTTGTTATTTTAACATTAAGAGGGAAAAGCGCACAGTGCTCTCAACAACCCACCAGCACTTTCCTGTACTCTAGAGCACATTTTCAGTGGAGATACAATTGCGGACTCAAGCGTGTCCTATCCAACTTCGACTGAATTAATTTATCTATTGCTACTCCTTGAAACTTTGCACAGAGAATTAGCCGACGCAGTCAACTTCCCCCCATGTACTAATAAGTACACAGAATTCCAGAAAGCTAGACTAGTCTTTATGAAATTTCTCCATGCTTAAACCATGGTACCTTTAAAGCAAAATTCGTTTCCAAATTGCAGTCCTACACATCTTAAAAACCAAACTTCATCCCTGCCAGCGCTGGGCTCTGGTGTCCTCAGGAGTGACCATAGCAGTCTCCAGGCACCGGTCCTGGAGCCCCCGGCTGAGAGGCTCTGGCCACACCTCAGGTGTCACCGCTCCACCTCGGCCGGCTCCAGGTGAGACCCTGCTTGCCCCTGCTTCCTCAGCGGATGGCGCCTCTCCGGCTCAGAGAAAACACTCACTGGCTCCTTGCGACCCCGACGCTGGCCTCCTGGAGTCAGGCAGGTGAGGGATGTGTGAGGGGTGGCGGGGCCAGACCAGAGATAAAGAAGGACTTGTGGTGACTTCACCGCCCCTGGGGTGAAACATCAGCCCTCCTGGGAGTTGCCAATTAAGTTTCTCGCTCTCTTTGTGGGTGGGGTGAGCGTCTCCACAGAGCAGAAGTGCGGCTGCCCGGACTCACTTTCCACGCTCCCTGGGCACAGACGGTGGCACAGGCAGCGGAGGCCTCACGACCGCAGGGAGGCAGAGCTCCTGGGTCCCACGGCGGCCTGAGCCTCTGCCTCCCCCTACCGCACTATCAACAAGGTTACGATTAGCTGCTAGGGAAGACAGGAGGGCGAGCCAAGGAAGACGAGCACCCAGCCGCAGAACAAGACAGACCGCTGGAGGCCGTTTGTGACTGCAGCCAGTCTAACCAGGAAGGGTCGTGCAGGTGGCCCAGTCGTGAGTTCAAAGGGACACTGGGGACCCACGTCTGTCCAACTGCTTGACAGTTTATTGAGGTATCGGAAAAAGATATTTACTGTGGAGATGAACATGGTAAAAGCAAGTTTTCAGAGAGAGAGAGAGAGAGAGAGAGAGGAGAGAGAGAAGAGAGAAATTATGTCCAAAAATGCATACACGCTTCAGGAAAAGAAAAATACCACGATGGTTTTTTCAGCAGATGGTGTTACCCTCCTGGGGGGACACAAGAGGAGGCTGTCGTGTATTACGGAAGTCCCGCCACACTGCCGACCCTGGAGAAGAAAGTGAAAATGCATGCGTAGCAAGCTCAATGACCGAAGTTGCCCTAGTGGCCCTTCGTGACACTGGTAAACGTCTGGAAGCTTGTGGCCACCGCTCTGAACACCTCTTGTAATTGTAGGGGCCAAAGGGAGCTTGTACGAATCTTATGATGTCTCAGTAAATTTAGTATTAAAATGTTTATTCAAGCTTTTCTTTGCCTGAAGCGTGTGTACATGTTTTCGTGGCCTATGTATTCACCCTCCTCCCTCTCCATAGTCAGGATAAATGTAATACACACACACACATGTGCAAATGCCATGCAGATATTTTATGTATGGATTTTATAAGTCACAAAATATTATACATTTAGTAAAAGCACATGTGTGCATGTCCACAAAAATTCCTGGTGAAAGAAACTCATAATGATTTTCAGTCCACAGTACTTACATCAGGTTACCACAACCTCGTTAGGAGACAGTGTTGTGTTGGTTTGCAGTCTGGAAGAGCTACAGATACGGACAAAGCATAAACTGAAAAAATTACATTTTATATTGATGTAAGAGACGGAAGGGAAATCTTTCATGTGTGACATGCTCATAAGGTATAAATAATCTTACCACAGGCAGTGGGTGAGGTGATGTTTGTGTACAGTGACCAGACGATCACCACATATAACGAGAGTAAAACCCGTGTCCTGAACTTTCAGCGCGGCGTGCCCAGCCGTGGTGCCTGTCCCCTTGCTAGGTTACCGGCCCTGGCCGATGGGGGAGTGCGGCCTGTGGGGTGTTTGCAGAGCCGCTCGGCCGCAGCCCTGCAGGCAAAGGCGCTGTTGACCCACTCGGACTGTGGGTGGCGCCTACCATAATCTTGTGGCCCAGATCAAAGCGAAGAGGAAGGAAGTGGAGCTCAACCTACACGGGGAAAAGCGCGGTGTCTACGGGGACGGCGCGGCGTGCGAACCCGGGAGAGCTCGCGTTCTCGACTCGGTGGAGCTCAAGTCCGTCAGGCTGAGGTCGGCACTGCGTCTTTGGTCGCGGTTTCCTGGCGTCTTTCAGGCTTTGGACGGAGCTGCTGCTAGGTCTTCTGTTGTCTGCGTCACGAAAAGAAATCCACTCACACAGTTACAGTGTAGATTCTTGGATTTTGTTGAGAAGGAAACGCCCAATCAATACAGAGTTTGACAGCAAGAGTGGCTTAGAAAAGCGGCATTGTAAGGGTAAATTTCTGCAAGCGGTTCAGTGGTTCCTAGATTTGGTCCTCTCATTTTACATGTGATTTCTCCTTCTGATAAGGCAGAACGTAGCGGTGGTCTGTGTAGGGAAACGGTTAAAGAAACATGTAACATGGATCCATCTGATATTCCTAATTCTCCAGTTGTGAAATACAAAGAATAGTGTGATTACTACTGGTGCTAGTAAACATTTTTTGAAGAGACGATAAAAAACAAGATGCTGTTCATTTCTCCTGGAGTCGGTTCAAAATGATAGAGTGAACCAGACAAACAAACAAAAAACCCAGTCACCCAGCTCCAGGATGCATAAACAGAATTAAAGTCTTCAAAGTGTGTCCTGAAAGAGAATCTTCTGTCTTGTAGCCCTAGGGCTAACGTTGCCAAAAATCAGAACCCAAGTCCTTGTGACGCGGTCGGATGACCTACAGCGCATGCTCCACTCTTAGCTCAAAGGGCATCTGCTGTTAAAGTGAGGGTGCTGGCTGGAAAAGAATTGGATCACACCGATTGGGCTGGACGTAATTGGAGAAGTTCATGATGCTGGGGACACTGAGCTACTAAACCTCATTGACGTGAGGTTATTCTGCCAGAGAAAGATTCTTCGTCGTCAGTGGCAGAGAAATCCTCGAGCACTACACCCTGTGGCATTGATCTCTCATAATCCTGCATTGCCTGTGGGGGAAGCAGTGAAGCTTCCTATGCATGTAGCAAGCGACAAAATGCTCATGTCCTCAGGACCTAGTCAGGGTCAGATCTCAGAAGGAGCCTAGCGGTAAGGTGCACAGTACCGTCCCGGAGGCGGTACGCTGTAACCCCAAGGACACTGAGGTTTCCGATTCTTTCAATCAGGTATTTAGAGAACAGGTATTAGGGATGAACTTCAGGGGCGCAGGATAATGGTGGAAAGCACACTAAAGTAGATCAGACTGAATGTCTTGATAAGAGCCCCTTTGGCAGAGACCCTTGATTGAATGTCACACCTCAGGGATTTTCAAGAGGAACTGAGAGTTTGCTTGTTTGGATGGTTGAAATATTGATGAAGGGCATCCATCGTGAAGGGGCTGGAGATGCCTGATGCTCTTTGGTTTACTGTTGACGAGAGTCTTCAGTGGTTCAGTATTTCGTGAATACCGGCTTTGCCAGGTAAAATAGACTTCTCTGAATCACTGGGGCCATAAGAGACATTTGCTTATAAGTTTCCAGGCCAGCCACGCGCCTCTGTCCAATTCCCCAGCTGTTTCCCAAATTAGATCTCCTCCCAAGCACTCGGACTCTAGAGACACCTACAGAAACTTCTGATTGTTTCTGGGAATTGGGAAATGGCGAAGACTTTTTTGTTTATTTTTAGAGTAGTCTCATTTACCCAATTGTGCACTGTCACTGGAATTCCAGGTGAAGTGTTAAGTGCATTTCTGCGGGGGCTTTGAGGTGCCAGAGCTGAGCCCATATCTTGATGTGGCCACTTCCAGCCCACACCAGCGGCACACATCACCGCCATCACCGTGGCCTGCCCTTCTGAGGGTGGAAGAAACTGCACATTTCCTTTTCCAAGCTGGGAAGCGGGACTGTGCTGTGTCCCATTCCGTCCGGGTAAGTCCTCAGGACTGCAAAATCTGAGCTGCACCAGAGGGAGGAGGGAGAGCTCATTCTTCAGGCACAGGCTGAGCTTGTGGTCATAGACAGAGGTCTGAGAACCGCCCGGCCCCTGACGTCTCCTCCTGTATCTGCAGCAAACCAGCACGGACAACTGTGGCAGGAATCGCTTCCAAGCAGAGGCGAAGATTTTTATGACTGCGAAGACTGGGATTCAGAATCTCTCTGCCATTCAGCTGGCCCCTCTGAAGCTATTGTTGCTTCAACAGAGTTAGTTCTGTGGTTTTGATCGTTGGAGTGGAGTCAACGGAGACAGGCATTTCTCTGCATGAACAGTGTGATGAAATGGCAAATAGTAAAATGAATTTTCTTCACTTGTGCTTGACAGTTTTAATGTAGATCACAATCAGGCCTCTTTGAGATTCTCTGTGGTGCATTTGCCAACGTGGGGAAATTATCTTTCTGAAGTTAGGGAAGGAGACATCCAGGAAAGATAAGTTCAGACTTGAGAGATTTGGACACAGGAGTACAACAATTCAGTATGTTTTGCATTCAAATATACCTTTTCATATACTGTCAATTATAAAAAGCTACATATATTTGGGCTCCACTTTTTTGCGACCTGAATGTATGACAGCTGATGTTAGTCTTGTATTTCACCATCATTTACAATTTTAATAATACTTTCTCTCAATTTTTCTAAAACACCAAAGACACAATTATACACTAACATATGGAGATTACACTCTACTGTAAAATAATAATTGATTTTTAAATAATTTTCAATGATTTCAATTTTATATACCTTACTTTAGAGTGAGCATTAATACTGCACATAGCGTCTGCTATGGTTTGGGGCTCGGTGTCCCCCAAAGCCTCGTATGGTCCTAGGCCGGATCTAGAGGGTGTGAAGTTGGAACCGACAATGCAACGCTAGGCTCAAGGGCACTGGGATTAAGGGTGCAAGTGCTGCCCACCCCAAGTATTCTGAATAAGATAAAAGGGGCAGGAGACGCTGTTAAGCTTCTCTTACTACCTTTGCTACCTGTGCATGCCATGTTGTTTCTCCTCTGTGAATCCTACTGGCCATTCCTGTCTTGGAGCCAGTTGACTACGGACTGAAACCTCTATGAACTGTAAGCCAGATAAACCCCTTCCCCTCTAACTTTGGGTGTTGGGTATTTTGTCCCAGCCATGAGAGAAAAGTTGTTAACATAACTTGTACAGTATGTACCAGAGAAATGTAATAAAGTTTTATAGTTCTTTCTGTAGCTATGCAAAAGATGGTTCATATGTGGTAAACTCAGCGTGGTCATAGAAAATGATTTAGTATACCAATATCTTAATAACAATTTTGTATCTTGGTCACAAGGTATACTGTTATGTGGAAGAAACATTTATACAAAATAGAAAGATGTTCGTTTATTATATTCCAGAAGATTACAAATGGGACAAGTTTTACACTGCTTGGATTATTGAATGAACATCACTGTATTTCTATGACACATAGCCTTCCTGGCTGCTGAGTCCAAACCTTGTCTTTGTGGACATTCAGTTGAGTCAGACAATCTCCTTTTTGGTCAATTGTCTTTGCTTTAAAAGAGAAACATTATTAGATCCCAAGTCCGTGTGTTGTATTAAGTGAGGAGTAGAGAGCCATTAAGCATAAGGGGCTTAAGGTGGTAGATGTTGTGCAAAAGCATCAGAGGCTTTGGAAAATTCTTAAAAAGAGAAATACATTTAGAAATAAACCTCTAGGACTGTGAGTGAGAAATGAAAAGGTTTGAGTTAAATTTTATATGATGTGCTTAACCCACACCTTCTCATCCATACAGAGTCCTGGGTTTTGACTGTTTCTGCCAAATCCCGGACAATGAGAAAATGACCACAGATTTGAAGTTCGGAATACTCTTTCTTTTCCAGATTGTGATTGGGACCACTGGGAATTTGTCACTCTTGTTTCATTATATCTCCCTTCAATTCAGTGGAAACAAGACAAGGTCCGCAGATGTGATCCTCAGGCACCTGACCATGGCCAACTCCTTGGTCATTCTCTCCAGGGGAATCCCAGAGACCATGGCCTCGTTTGGGGTGAAGCAGTTCCTCAGTGATGCTGGATGCAAGCTCGTGTTCTACGCTCACAATGTGGGTAAGGGTGTGTCCATAGACTCCACCTGCCTCCTGACTCTCTTCCAGGCCATCAGCATCAGCCCCAGGCGCTCTGTTTGGGCGGAGCTGAAAGTGAAAGCCCTGAGGTACATCAGTTCCTCTACTGTCTTCTGCTGGGTCCTGCAGATGCTGTTAAATATTAGACTTCCTATCATTTTGACCAACAACAACAGCAAGAGAAACATCACAAAAACCATAGACTTTCAATACTGCTCAGCTGGGCCTCATGACAGAGACCCAGGCTCAGTGTTTGCGGTGCTGAGACTCTCCCATGACGTTCTGTGTTTGGCGCTTATGATCTGGGCCAGTGGCTCCATGGTTTTCATCCTGTTCAGGCACAAGCAGCGGGTCCACCATCTCCACAGACACAGCTCATGCAGGTCTTCCCCCGAGACCAGAGCTTCTCAGAGCATCCTCATTCTGGTGAGCGCTTTTGTGTTCTTCTATACCCTGTCTTCCACCCTTCACGTTTGTATGGCTCTTACTCGTGGCTGTACTTGGTGGCTGGTCACAGCCTCTGCCTTCATCAATGCTTGTTTCCCCTTTGCCAGCCCCTTTATTCTCTTGAGTCGAGAACACTGGGCATCCAGGTTCATCTGGAAGAAGTAAACAAGCAGCAGTCCTCCAGGTGAATAACGTTCCATCTTTCCACATTCAGTCATTGCCTGCACTCTTTTGTTGCAAAAAATTAACCTCAATTTTGAGGCAGTCTTATAACAGTAGAACTCCAAAATAAATATAACTTTTTTCTTCAATGAAAAATAATTAATTATAATACTGAATCCAGCTGTAAACTTTTCTTTTGCAAGTTTATTGTGAATTTTTAAAATACTTCAAAAAGCGCTGATTCTGTTTTTTCCTTCAGTTGTTTTTTTTCCCCTTTGAATCAATTTTCCCTTCTTTCTCTCCCCCGCATCTCTTGGTTCCCTTCCCATCTGGACTCTTCCTAATTCCCAATATCTATGTTTTCTTTTCTCCTTATTGATACTTTGGGTTTTATCAGGGATTCCCATAGTGGGTTCTGTTCTGCTCGGGGCTACAGCACAAGGTGAGAAGAAAAACTGAGACAGAATTAAAAAGACAGAGAAACGGGGAGTCAGGATGGCCAATGCTAAACCACAAAGACCCTGTCCAGCCACAGCTGTTGATACTGACTGGTGACATCACAGTTGGGTCAGAGTAAAGGGGCTACGTGGAGTTGTAAGGGATACGTTGCTGATGTAGGCAAGGCTTGTAAAGGAAGAGATGAAGTATTCTCGAATAGGAACAGGGCAGACACCAGATAGGTGGTGGTTAGCAAATAACCTTGCCCTTCTAGTGAAGGCTTTAATTTTGGGAACAGAATTCGGATGTGAGTCACTCTGACCTCGGATGTGTGTTATCCCCTATTAAGCCCCATAGCTTCACAGGTTTGTTTCTCTGGTCGCTGCCATGGCTGTTGGCGGGGCTGATATTGGCCCCTGCACCGCCACCCATAATGCCCGTGAGTCACGTAGGCTTCAGTTGGACTCACTTCTGTAAGCAGGCGAATCGTGGGCTAATGACAGAGAAGGCTGCACAATAAGTCAGGCCCTGGCCTCGCCTCCATGTTTTCTCCCCACAGAATGTTTCATTTGGGAAATGTAAGTTTGTGTTGCTGGGCTCCTGCCCAGTATATCAAAGCGGTTTGTGACTATTTGAACTGTGTGTCCTTTCAGGAATGTTCTGTTAAGCTCTGACCCCTCACAAGAAGTTTCTGTTAGACTCCACCCCCTCTCAGGAATGCGCTGTAATTCTGCCATTCCCTTAAAATGAAATATCCATCCTATTAGGAAGGAAGGACATCACTTTGCAATTTAAACTGACTTTTTCAGCCAGTGGTTAGTGTTGTTGAAACCATTTTCTATTTTTTTTTTTTGTGACAGGGTCTTACTATGTAGTTGAGCCTGACCTGGAACTCACTATGTAGCCCAGGCTGGTCTTGAACTCACAGCAATCCTCCTGCCTCAGCCTCCCGAGGGCTGGGATGACAGGCATGTACCACCATGCCAGGCTGAAACCATTATTTTCTAAACACGTGCGTACTTTCTGTGCCTGTCCTATGAAAGAAATCTTAACTGCAGTCGTGAGAATTTCTTACTGACCAGAGGGTTGTGATTAAGACAGTGATTCTGCTTCTATAATAGCGATAATAAATAATGGTAGCAATAATAAATAAAATTTGATGCAATTGTTGTGTAAGTACACATACAATTAATTGTGTAGTAACCTTGTTTACCAATCAGCTTTGGGACAAATGAATCGTAGAAATTATAGTCATTGTTTCATTCTGTAGCCAGTAGTGTGTCTTCTGATAAACTTGGAAAAGACATCTGCCTGGTCTTTGACTGGACAGTCATGTGCTGCCGTGTGAATGTGGTGACCAGCTGGTATCCAAGGCAGGTGTGGTCTCAGTGACTTCTGGGGGGTCCACTTTGCATCTGCTTCCCACACCTGGTACCGTGTGAATCACCACCTTCCTCCTGGTGCCTTCATGCCCGAGGCAGCCGTCCTTCTTCCAGATGCTTCCTCTTATGGCCCTCAGTATCTGAGGAAATCTTGACAGCATTGAAGCACAACATAGCTAAGGTACAGCGATCCTGGGAGACTTCAGTAAATAACTCTTGTTTGGAAATTCTAGCTGGAGAGCGCAGCTACTCATACGCTCTTGAAGGAAACAGTTCTCCTCTATGGGGGGGTGCTGTCCGCTTTGACCAAGCCTGCAGCTTCAGGAGTAAACAACTCTTAATAATGAATGATAGAAAGGGAAAGAATATTAATAAAACAAGGTTTTTAGTGATACTATAAACCAATGAGTCCTGACTGACATTGATGGAACAGTCCACAGCACAGCAGGCACACAGCCTTGAAAATATCAGAGGATTACCGTCCTCAATAGATGACCTCTAAGGCCTAAACAAAAGCTTTTAAAATTATATAAAAGATCAAAATCTTATATTTTGGCTAAAATGGGCAGTAGACACCAAGAGCACATTAAAAACAAAACAAACAAAGAAAAAACTATGACGTGAAAATTAAATAACACACTCTCCAAACACTCTTGTTTGAGAATTGGACAACAGGACTAAAAGATTTCCATAAAAATTTCAGAGAATTATTTTATGTGATATGTATCTAGACTCCAACTTGTTTTGTGCCTTCCTTGGGATAATCTAGAATATATTCATGCAGCTGATTTCCTGTAGGGCCTAAATCTTGTGACTACCCCCAGTTGAGAAGGCTGCTATAACAGATTAATGTACATATTCTCTCAAATTTATTCAGAAAAGTTGTGATCGCCATTGTGGATTCATTTTTGGAACCATGCATTTGAACTTTTATTACTATTTTACAATGTAGAAGCTGGAAGTATTTCTATTTACTATTATTGCACATCCCACTTACGTTCACAAAGTTTACTTTGTCTGTTTGATTTACTATTAACTGTCAGTTTGTGTTTTTATCTACAAAAGGTAGCAATTTATACCTACTCACAATTCTTTCAGTCTCTTTTTAATAGTTTAGAATGTATTTTAAATTATCTGAGCTGTCCTGTCTCTGTGTTCATGAGATGAAAATAGACCTCTGTTGATTTGTCACCTGCACACATTTTTTTTTTTGTCTGTGAGGACTGAGACCATCCAGAATGTCCAAAGTATTATTTGGGTATGAATTTTTAGATACTGTGAGAAGCTTCTTTTCAAATTTTAAGTGATTTTCAATGATGAAATATGTTCTTGGAGTTTCCTTTTAAATCAACCTAAGGATTTTTGACCTTAAAATAATATCATACTTCAATTTTCATATTACTAGATATTTCTTTTAATTTCATATACATATCAAACATTTTTCTTCTGTTTTCCATAACATATACCAGTCCTGCTTCTGCATTAATATGTGTGACTTTCTTTCCTTGTAATTAATTCAGACTGCATGTTTATAGTAACCCCTATAGTGTATACTTCTGTATTTTAAAATATAACCTACATACAGAGACTTGTACCTGACATACCATGTAATTCAAAACCCTGGAAAGTTTCCCACCTTCTCAGGTAGCAGCCAGTTGAATCAGAGCAATATTTATGACCCCCAAATCTCCCGTACATTCCTTGTAATAACATCCTATTGCCCCAAATAAGCATTTTTTCATATTTTAAAGTGTTTCTTTGCTTTTCTTGATATGCAAGAAAGAGTGCCCAGTGTAGTTAGCTTTTCTTCTGAAAAAAATCATTATTTTAATACTGGGTATTAACTCATTGAATTCATGGCTTCCATGCTGAGCTACACCTAACTCCTCTCTGTGTTTATTTTGGGAAGCTTCTCCCGGTATCACCGAGTCATCCAGGCTGGTCTTGAACTCTGGTCCTCCTGCCTCCATCCATGAGTGGGGTTACAGGCACGCTCATTGTACTCAGCTCTTCTGAAATTTTATATAAATGAAATAATATATCATAAATTATATATACCTGTTATCGACCATAGGGTAGCAAACACGGGATTTTACGAGGAGATATAGGTTTTCTGAAAGGTGGGAGCAGGTTCGGCGATGATAGTTAGATAAAAGCACTCAACACCGAGGTGATGCTTGTAAATGCTGTTGTAATTTTATTTTTAACTCTAGGTGTTTATATATTAGTTTCAAGGGCACATCTCAAGAGTGATTCCAGTCACAGGCAGGCATGAGAAAGATAGACAATAGTACTGTAAAAATTAAGACCACAAGGTCAAGGTAAGACCACACCTATATACCATCACAAAAGCTAAGACCATTAAGTCAAGGTAAGATCATATCTATATGTAGTCAGAAGGGGAAGTTTGTAAAACAAAGGACTGGCTTCAGCATGTCACCTTCAGGATCACCTTCAGGACTTCACAGTCCGGGGCTCAGAGTCAGCACTTTGGCCGCCCGTCCTCTTGTGTCTCAACACCTCCCCATCTCTAGGAACATTTAATTGTTCCTAACCTTTCCTGGGCCCAGAATATAATTTTATAGATAATGAATAAGTAGTAATAAAGACAAAATAGAACAGAATTATAGATGAACCCAATGTCCCCAAACTGCAGGCAGAGAGGCCAGCTATTCTCTTTATGGTTGATTTTGCATGCGGTGTGTGCCAAGGACCTCCAGGAGGCTTAACCCCGTGGGGACGATACCTCGGGTCTGGTTTCTGCCAGGTGAGCGGCATTGTCACGCAGACTCCACTGGAGTGGTCGTGGCAGTTCCCGCTTTTTTGTTTTTTAGCCGTAGAACAGCGACCTCTGTCTGCAGCTGGGACAGGGCTTGAGAAAAGATTCTAAGAAAGCAAGGGAAAACAATTAGAATTATGCAAATAATGCAAAATTTATAATTCCAACTATAGTATAGTGGACCCAGGAAAGGGGATTTAATGCCTTTAGTGACGAAG